GCTTGATGCACCATTTGTCTTTAGGGAATTTTGCATGTGCTTTTTGTCCCCTTTTTTTTATTTTTGTTCTTCTTTTTTGTTCTTGTTTTTTCCTTTTTTGCTTCTTTTCTTTTTTTTTGCCCTTTTTGTTCTGATTGAATCATCGCACTTGGCATTTGGTTCACCTTTCGGTATCTCATCTGAATCAATGTCTTCACTCATGTGAGCAGATTTTCTCCACCTTGCCCCCCAGTGTGGAGGGTGATCCTTGGTTAGGGTTGAATCAGAAGAAAAAAAATACTATAGGCTCAAAAGGGGATGCAAGGGATATATATTTTCTCCTGTTGCGAAGGGATAAAGAAAGAAAGCCGTTTATCATTTCATACATGTAAGTCTTCACAGAAGAGGTATCCCCAGGGGGATAGATTTTCAGGATTAATTCTATTCACATGAAAACAATGCAATTAATGCATGATAGAATTATTTCGAATGAATTGTTTTTTCTGCTCCTTGCTCCCATCATGTCTCAATGTTCAGGCTCCCGGCGAGATGCCCCAAATTGTATCTTGGAAGAATGCTTATGTTCAAATGAACAACTCAATGCCTTGGGTTTAATGGTAAAAAGATTAATTTGAGTCTAAAAGACAGTTGTATGATCTTATTAACTCAAAGAAAGGTATGGGTGTATCAAAAAGATAAAGGTAATGTTCAAGAATTTCAAAAGGAGGTAATGTCAAAATTTGGTCTTTTTGATCAAGGTATTTCATTTTGGGGGTTTGAGACAGGATAAGAAAGGTCTATCTTGTATGTCAAAAATCTATAATTCTTGAAGAATTAAAAGAATCCTTAATTCATTTAATATTCGAAGAACTAAAGATTAAAATTTGTTCAATTGCTCTACCTTAGAAAGTAGCATAAATTCAATCATTTAACAGATTAAGCGAAAGATCAAAGACGTGTTCAAACAAAACAATCCTCTAAGTGCAAATGGTGTATGCCATGCCCCCTTCTTCGGCAAGCGCCTTACAGGTTTCAGAGGAATGTTTGGGGCTTCTTACGTGGTAACAGCTAGCAGCTTCAACATCGCGGCCCTTAGGATATGAGGATTCTTTTCTTAGATCATCCTGGCAAGCTTTGTCCTACAATCAGCTGATCAGGCTCCTACTGTTACAATCTTGCTTCCATGTGGTTAAATTCGCTTCATCGAGCCCTTCACGACTTAATTTCATGTTTGTGAAAATGCTTAAAATGTAGATGAAAATGCAAAAAGGCAAAAATGCAAAATGCAAGAATGCATGAAATGTTCGAGGCATTGATCCAGAAAAGTGTCCATTATCATAAATAATCCTTATTCAGACAAAAATGTTTTATCTTGTAAGAGACATAAAAACAATAAAAGGTATGTTCGGACTAAATCTTCTAGACATCCATCCGAGATACTTTCTTCCATGACTCGACTGCTTCTTTGATCATCTTCTTATAACTGTCACCGTGATACATAAACTCTGATATAGATAATCCATATGTTGCTGGGACAAACTGATGTGCCCCATACTGTCTAAGTGCCAACAACGGAGCATACCCAACTGCACCTCAAAGTCCAAATAGGGTCATAGTGTCAGAATTCCCACACTTGAAAAGAACATCTCTGAGGAACAACCAGGGGGCTCTCCAGGTAATATCCCGGTCCTGTAGATGAGTGAAGACTTTCATCCATTTCTCTTTTGAAGCGCCTTCATATCCTGTCATGGTGATGAACTCTCTCAAAGGTGAATACGTAGTGTTAAATCTACAGTAGGCAACCCCATTAGTCTTCTAGAAGTGGATGTGAATCCAGACTTGAAGGAACTGAACACATCCAATGAATCTACCTCCGCCAGTTCTTCGACAATGGTTGAGAGACCAAAAGGTCTTGGCTGAGATGGTCGGTGATGGGTTGACTCATTTCGGAAGTTGCTCAAACAGTTCCACCACGGCTGCGTCAATGCATCCTAAAACCTTCGGAAAGATGATCAAGCCATACAGACCTAGTGCAAAAAGGTCTATAGTCTTGCCCGTTACCTTTGTTTCGGAGTCGGTCAGTCACCCATTTTTCATCAACTCCTGCAATCTTAGCCAGTCCGTTCTTGAAAGGCTGACTCTTGATGTGTTTGATGTAGGCTCGCTCCAGTTTAATGCTTTCACAGTGCAATAGTGTAGTATACTCCTCGATGGTAGGTACCATGTCCTCCTGGTTAAAAGTGAAGCAACTGTATCCCAGGTTCCAAAATTGAACCAAGACTCTGATTAAGGGCTCATTGGTCTTAACATGAAGCAAAAGTGCAATGTCACCATACCGCTGATTGAACTTCTGTTTCCGATCATTCTTCCAACTATCTCATATGTCTCGAAGTTCTTGCACATTATTCTGTTTTAAACTGATAGAGGCGTAGCTAACAAGCTCTGACACATAGCTTCCTTGAAGACTATCTCCATTTTCCTTCTGAGTTTTCTCGGACCATAGTCGTACCTCGGGGTTTTTAATCTCTTGTATTACAACACCTTTGTCCATGGATTCAGATTATTCGAGTTTTAACAAACACGTTTTAGTGGATCAATGACCTCTTTTATGATGCAAGTGATGAAAATAAAATAAAATAAAAATAAAAGAAAGATGAAAAGAGTTAGTGAGGTGAAAAAAATAATAAAAAAAGATCATAAAAATGAAAGTCCTACCCCACATGATATCTACCCCACATGCTTATTATTCCTACCCGGACATGATCTCTATCCCGCATGCTAATCTCAAACAAATCCTAACCGCATATTTGTCTAGTACGCATGCTTTGAACAGAAAGTAAGGCATGAAATAAAATCAAAGCAGCCTAAGGTTTGGAATGAGGTTTTGGGGTGGGCTCTAATTCTCCATCGTCTCCCGGTTTAGGTTCTAAAAAAAGGTACCCGAGTTCTCCTTGCTGGTGCCCCCTTGGGCTTACCAGACCCTTAGTCCTAAACCCATCACATGCTTGTGTGGACTAAGTTAAACTCGAGAGGACACATTCCCTTATGCCCATACGGAGAATAAATTCACACGAAGGCGTCGCTTTCACCCCCACTTAAAACGGGTTCGGAGCTCGGGTATAAAGCCTTTAGATGAAAAAAAGAAAACTTTAAAGGCTGAAATCATGAAAAAACGATTAGTCCAACTATTTACTCGAAAATAATCAAAAGTAAGCAATAAGGATCGAAATGTTACCTTAAAATTTAAACTTACCCTTTTCGTTAAAAAGAAAACTGAAAATTACCTTAGTCTGACTCACTTGAAAGTCCCCAGCAGAGTCGCCAAGCTATCGCAACCGTCTTTCGGTTGGGCCCCCCCGGAATTGGGCTTCGACTTAGGTAAATGGATTGGAGTCGCCACCGATCATTTATTTAAAACAAATGGGTTGATCGGATACCCTATTTCTTACCTGATCTGCGTCTTACCAGAAATATGTCGGGCTCGGGAGTCGGTTACGGTCAAGGAAGGATTAGCACCCTTGAACCGCCCTTTCGGTACTACGTAATTTTCAGTTGTCTTAATTAAGAAAATTGTAATTTTAAATTAAAAGGTAAAAATAACGATCCAAAACTTACCTATGTTCGATTGAAAATGTACCCTTAAAGAGTTGAGAAACATGTTAGATATAAAAAAAATAAATAAAATAAATAAAATAAATAAATAAATTCAACCAAAATAAATAAAATAAATAAATAAATAAAGCATAGAAAAATGATAGTAAATAATAGTATAAATATAAAATAAAAAAGGTAATATATATAAATAAATAAAATACACATAAAGAAAATGAAGCAATAAATATAATATATATAATAATGATAAAAGGTAATATACATAAATAGATGTTAGAATGAAACACTAAAATACATATATGTAGTTATATGTACATAATATATATATACGAATAAAAAAGAAGGGGAGGAAACAAATAATAATATATAAAACATATATAGATATAATTGTTAGTGAAAATAATAACAAATAAAATATAGTATAATAGGTAAAAAATGCGAAATCAATAAAAAGGAATTAAAACATGAAGGGATTAAATTGGAACAAAAAAAATCAGGGGTCAAATTTCGAAGTAATTGGGGGAATATTAAATACTTAAAAAAAATGAATATGCCTCGGGAGTAGATCTAGGTTCGAAACTTCGAAACCCCACCCCTTTTTGGTCATCGGCGCAACCCACGTTTTATGTTATTCGAACCAAATCTCAAAAAAAATAACGTGCACATGCAAAAAAAAAATAATAATAAAAAAATAAAAAAAGATGCTACCTTTTATTTCCTTTTCGAATCGTTTACAATAGCTTTGCCTTTGTATTTTTCGTGCTTTACTCTGTGTTTTGTGCGTAAATCGTGTCTTACAATGGTGAGTTACAATGGCTATTTATAGTGCTTGTGGATCCTATCTTTAGGAATTTAAATAATAGTAGAACTCTATCCTATTTTTAGGAGTTTGAATCCTAGCAAAATTTTATCCTATTTTTAGGAGTTTGAATCCTAAAATTCTATCATATTTTTAGGAGTTTGAATTCTAGTAGGACGAAAAATGTGTGTTGACAAGACTGTATGACGAAACTGGCGTAGAAGAGACCGTTGGATTTTCAGATTCATCATGACCCCCGGCGGAAGTGGGGAGAGCCTTCTTTGAAGACAATATTAGCAAATAAGTCTTACTGTTTCTTACTTTACCACTAAAAAAAACATTATGAACGTCACTAGTAGATTTAATCTATAAATAAATCTAAAATTAATCCATCTTAAACTCAGTCTAATGTGTTGTCTATCTCAATCAAGCATATCCATTCTTATACTCGAAAATCAACCTACTCCGATGATTATCGTTTGAAAAAGTAAAATTTCCAAGTTTAATAATAGCTTAGAATTTTCAATGAATAATCCTTTGAATCTAATTTAATACATTCACAATACCAAAATTCAAATCCTTAGGCCTTGTTTAAGAACTAACACCTCGTTTAAGATAGATCAACCTTATCCGATCCTTCAAACATATATGCATCTGAGATAACCTGCATCAATTATAAAAACGCTATCAAATAAAGAGAATTAAACTCTATTATCATTTATTTTATTTGGATTTTTTATTTTATTCATCGAATTAAATTAAATTTTTAAAACTCCAAACTAGAAAGAGTAATTTATGTTATTTAAATCATTAATATTATTAATTATTTCGATTAAAATACTAGTTTTAAATATGCATGTCGACATTTTAGTTAATATAGTTAACAATATTAGCAATGATATAATATAATTAAAGATTGAAGTATATTGAATTAAAATAGAGACTAAATACCCAATTCATACATAATGTACGGATCAAAACCAAAATTTGAACTAAGAGTTTTTCCAGCTTACTTGGATCTGTGGGTGTGATCGCACCACTGCCTTGAAAATCGCAGGCGCTATCGCTTCCTTTAAACTTGAAGTAAGAATTCATGGCGAATGCGGCACGAGACTTGACGGTGGACGGTTCAGCACACGCGCCGCCGGGTTGAATCGGGCGGCAATCGATGCCTTGTTTGCATGCCCACTCCAGGTTTCTCTGCAGTTGGGCATCGCCGACTCCCGGTTTCGGCAGACAAAACTTCATTCTATTGTCCACGAATGATCCTCCTCCTCTAATCGTCCCTGCAGCGGCGGAGGATAAGAGGTGGAAGACGACGGTGCCGTGGAGGAGGAAAGCTACACTGCTCAATGGCTTCATTATTCAAATATTATTATTTTATTATTTTTTATTGCAATTCTTATTTGACGTTTGATTTTGTTTTTTGGGGTGTAATTCATGGATATATAGAGAAGATGAATAAACCACGGAAGGTAGTTTTTTTTTATCAGTATTTTGACATATGGGGAACTCAGAGAATTTACAGCTTCATTGATATAATTGTTTGTTTGGTACATATATTATATTGAATGTTAAAAATTAAGAGATTAATTAAAAATTAATAAAAACAGTGATGATTAATTTTGTGATTATGTCTTAAAGAATATAAAGAATTAAAAGGACTTACTTAAAATTTTTAGATATAGTGAAATTGATATTGTAAAAAAATTGAAGGCAAAATTAGAAAATAGTAAACTTTTGATTATTAATCTTACTATTATATCCAAGTAAAAGGTGTTTTTAGGGGGAATTGTCACATGTCAATCATTGATTGGCTTGAGTTTTTTTATAATTTTTTTATCTTGAAATGATATTAAATTTCATTGAAATAAAGAAAGATATAATTTTAACAATGTAACCAATTAAAGAGAATTTTTTTTAGGCAAAATTAGAAAATAGTAAACTTTTGATTATTAATCTTACTATTATATCTAAGTAAAAGGTGTTTTTAGGGGGAATTGACACATGTCAATCATTGATTGGCTTGAGTTTTTTTTATAATTCTTTATCTTGAAATGATATTAAATTTCATTAAAATAAAAAAAGATATAATTTTAACAATGTAACCAATTAAAGAGAATTTTTTAGGGATTATGTCCACTAACAAGCTCAAACATAAAATAAAAATAAAAATAAAAATAAAATAAAATAATCCAAAGGCACAATAACAGTCAAAATCCAAAAGCACAATAACAATCAAAGCTTTCTTTTAAATGGGATGTCCATCATACATAGTAACCCACTAGTCATCAATAGTATTGATTTGTCTCTATCTAATTTATTAGATTATGAAGATGCGAGCTGAAAGAAATGTTGGTTAGCAAGCTGTTAAAAGATGTTGCTGACTAAGCAGTTTGTTAGGGTCTGTTACCATAGCTATTCACATGCCTATGATGCATTTTATAATGCTTTAAATAGTGCTCGTATGCGTATTGAAATAAACAAGTAATACAATGCTTTCTTGAATTCGTATCTCAACATATTATCTAATAGGGTATCATTCGCCATAAATTATGGGATTCTTTACTACTTTCGTTTGTGCTAGAGTCTGTGTTGTCATGGCTCCAGGATCATCGATTGAGTTGGGTGCTGCTCCGAAGATGTTTACTAACAAAAGGGTGAGCGTTATTCTTGATGAGGGTAATTTTCTGCTATGGAAACAATATGTTCTGTTTTCAGTGAGGAGCCACCTCTTGGAGAAGATGCTTCTTGGTATGGTTCAGCCACCATCACGGACGATGGTCCTTGACAGTGGCAATACTGTTGAAAATAAACACCATGAGTTGTTTATTGCTCAAGAAAATGCTTTAGCTTCATGGTTACTGTCCACTATAAGCCCACGGCTTCTTTCTTAGCTAATGGGTATCGAATCTGCTGCCGACGTTTGGACAACCATTAATAAAATCTTTGCCAACAAATCAACCACCACAGTGATGAACTTACATTACCAGTTTAAAGGAGTTAAGAAAGGGGAGTTAAGCATGCGCTCGCATATGTCCGAAGTGAAAGAAATCTACGATACCTTGGCCACTTGTGGCAACATGGCTGCTGAACAAGAGAAGGTCGCTATTATCCTGGGAGGTTTACCTACTGAATATAGATCGTTTGTGGTTGTCATCACCGTTATTCATGAATCAGTCACTCTTTATGGGGTTATATCGATCATTCTTAATGTTGAGCTCTAGTAGAAAACTTTGAATAGTTTGACGATCTGAACATAAGTGCTAATGTGGCTAAATCATCTGTTTCTGAGATGTCCAATTCGAGTGTTGTGATTCGCTCTTTGGACTCAAGGGGCAGACGCTCTCAAGGCCATCAAAGAGGTCATAGGAGAGGCTATATCGCTTTCAAAGCCAACTCTATAGCAAAACGGCCATCTCATTGATCAATGTTGGTATCGTTTAGATAAAAGTTTTCGATGGGTGTCCTCTAGCACCGATAAGCCTTCCTTGGGATCGAATAACTCTCCTACATGTTGCAGAAGACGGCTATCGAATAGAGCAAAATCACAACTGATAATTTGAGAAAATAAAAATAAAGATAAAAGAGACACAAAATTTACGTGGAAAAACCCTAAATAATATAGGGTAAAAACCACGGGCAACGGTAGAAGAATTTCACTATGAGAAAATAGGAATTACAACTTCTCTCGATCTACCAAGGAGAAAACAATGATAATTCTCTCTTCATAAAAAGGAGAAAACAACTCTCAAGAAACTCTCTAAATTCTCTAGTATTGGAAGAAAGCTAGAATGCTTTGGGATGATTTTGAAGCTAAATGAGCTAGGGTATTTATAGTTGAAGCTTAAGGACTAATTTATAAATACTCTAAATTACAATAACTAAAATTGAGATTTTATCATTCAACTTTTTCAACCAAACTTTCGGTGGAATTAATTTATTTTGTTTTTTCCTTCAATTCTCCACCGAAAGTGGCCATTAATTTGGCCACTTGATGTATTTTCAACAATCTCCCACTTGAAGATTTGATTAGAACAATCATATCTTCACACCATTATTTCTACCTTGTACCTTCATGTTGCTTACGTTTCTGTTAGGCCACAAGAGGATCGACACCAAGTAAATTTATCACCATTAATCGCTTTTGTCATGAAATCTGCTATGTTGTCTTTGGTATGGATTTTCTGCATATCTACCGTCCATTCTTCCACCTTTTCACGAATAAAATGGTATTGAACTCGTATGTGCTTAGTCCTTGAATGAAATGCTAGATTCCTTGCTAAATGCAAGGCGCTTTGACTGTCACAAAATAGAGATACATACTCTTGATTGTGCCCAAGCTCCTCCAATAGCATCTTCAACCAAATTGCTTCTTTACTAGCTTGTGTAGCTGCTACATATTCTGCTTCTGTTGTGGATGTAGCCACAACTGACTGTAATTTTGAAACCCAGCTTACAGCTCCACCAATAACTTTGATCACATATCCTGTAGTAGATTTGCTTTTATCTAAATCCCCTGCATAGTCAGAATCGACATACCCATTGATAAGTAAGTTTGATCCTCCGTAACATAATGCAACATTTGAGGTCCCTTTGATATATCTCAGGATCCTCTTTACCGTATTCCAATGCTCTTTCCCTGGATTCGCCATGTACCGACTAACCACTCCCACTGCTTGTGTAATGTCTGGTCTTGTGCATATCATAGCAAACATTAAACTTCCCACTACTGATGCATACGGTACTCGAGACATCTCCATCCTCTCTTCTTCACTGCTAGGACTCATACTGGAGGATAATTTGAAGTTAATAGGAAGAGGGATATAAATTGACTTACAATCTTGCATGCTAAATCGTGACAAGATCTTCTTTAAGTAATTCTTTTGTGATAGCCAAATCTTCCTATTACTTCTGTCTCGGTGAATTTGCATCCCTAAAATCTTATTTGCTGATCCTAAGTCCTTCATTTCAAATTCCCTAGCCAGTTGTGCCTTCAATTCTTCAATATGATCTTTGTTGGGTCCTGCAACCAACATGTCATCCACATACAACAACAATATAACAAAATCGTTATCACCAGACCTCTTGAAATAAGCACAAGGGTCTGCATTAAGTCTATTGTATCCAAGGCACATAATGAAGAAATCAAATCTCTTATACCTACACATCGGTGCCTGCTTTAGACTGTATAGAGATTTGTTCAACCTGCAAACCAAGTTATTTTTTTATCTTCTTCAAAACCTTCAGGCTGGAGCATATAAATCTCTTCTTCAATATTTCCATGAAGAAAAACTGTTTTAACATCTAGCTGCTCTAGATGTAAGTTCAATGTAGTACACATTGCCAAAACTACTCAAACTGTTGTTAGTCGAACCACAGGAGAAAAGATTTCATTGAAATCAATACATTCTTTTTGAGCATATCCTTTGACCACCAGTCTTACACGATACCTTTCCACTTGATCATCACCATTTCGCTTGATTTTGAAGACCCATTTGTTATCAATTAGCTTCCTTCCTTGTGGTAGTGACATAAGGTCCCATGTATTACTTTTATGAAGGGCTTCAATTTCTTCTTGCATCGCCATCATCCACAGTGAAGCATCTGAGCTGCTTATTGCCTCATGTATGTTGATGGTTCACCGTCCTCTGTTAAAAGGCAGTATGCAATATTACCTTCTATAGCATAATCTAAGTACCAATTGGGACGTCTTCTCACACGATCTGATTGACGAGTTGTTAGAGCTTCAGAACTCTCTGGTTCTTGTTCATCATGTACTGGTTCTGCTTCAGAAGAATCTCCTTGTTCAAACTCATTTTCCACATGTATCTGTGTAGTCTTTGACTTTTCAGCGCTATCATCTTCTTCTTTTCTTTGTAGCTTTTCTTCTATAAAGATAACATCCCTGCTAATGATCACTTTGCGGGCAGTGGGATCCCAGAAGCAAAACCTTTTTACACCATCAGCATACCCCAAGAATTTGCATTTCCTAGATTTTAGATCTAGCTTTGAAATTTCTTGGGAGTTGTACATCGCGTACACAATACTTCCAAATATATGGAGGTTTGAATAATCAGCTGGTTTACCAGTTCACATCTCCATTGGTGTTTTCAGCTCTATTGCAGTTGATGGAGCTCGATTCACCAAATAACATGCAGTATTGACTATTTCTGCCCATAATGATTTTTCTAGGCCTGCATCCCTCAACATTGCTCTTGTTTTTTCTAACAAGGTTCTGTTCATCTGCTCTGCCGCTCCATTTTGTTGAGGAGTGTTCGCCACTATGAATTGTCTTTTGTTGCCTTCTTTCCTGCAAAAGTCATCAAATTCTTCTCTTGTGTATTCTCCTCCATTATCTG